GTTTTGTAGTTTTGTGATGTAGAAGAACATAAGAATCGTAATTTTCTCCCGACATCAGAGCAACTCAGGACGCATACGTTTTGTTTTTAATGGTAATGCGCCACTGAATACACCTAAATTAGTTTATGTCTGCGCACATTTTTTTACTCCAGACTGCTTTCTGAATGAGGGACAATTCAAGGCATGTTTTGTTAAAAAGTTAAAACTCAAGGATCGATCAGTACCCAGTGTTTGTGATCCAGCTGCACCTCCAGAATAAGTAAGTCTAACACTTTATATTTTTTTATGATTATTTTTAAATCGCCTTTGCTCTTCCATGGAAGAAAGGGGCGGGTGAGCAGAGCTCATTGGCATTTAAAGGGACATGCCCCAAAATGAGTCGCTGTGAACAGAGCAAGGTAAAAAGGGTGTTGTTTTACACAACCACTGAGGAACTTTAACCAAAGTATGTTGCAGACCGTTCATGAAGACCCTAAAGAATCATACCAAATTGTGGAAGATCAATGTCCCCTTTGAAGCACAGCCACCACAAAATCAGACTTACTTTGAGATTATTTTGAGGTTAAATACATATTTAAAATCATAACAATACATATTTTATTAGCTATGATACTGTTTTTGGAATCAAATCTTTACATAGCTATAACAGTAAACACTGGAATCTAACAATGTCTTGGAAAAAAAATTAAGCATAGCTATACATAAACCCATATAGGAAATACAAGAGTTATCGAATAAGCATGTTCTAAACTCCTGAAACATTGGTGTTTCATATTTTAGAGCAGTCACTGCAATAGGGGTTATGCGCAACAGACTTCCGTATTCTGTTAACCTAGTCTCGTTGCTTCCGGTTCAAGCGTTTTGCATATGCTTAGTTAAATATGAAGCCGTTTTTCCCGAGATGCCTTCAAAGTAGATACCAATGATGATCATAACCAGTGTCCATCACATATGCGGACTGATATCTAAAAGTTTTTTTTATTTTTATTCTTTTCACATTTAGATATAAAAATGGAATAAAACGTCAACAATAAAAACAGCTAGCTAGTTTAACTGATTATCTTAAAAGTCCATAGATATCGCTATTATTTAATACGGCTGTTAACACGTTCTCCAACAAGCGGAAGCAATGAGACCTGTTTTCCGGGTTTGGTCAGGTGATGTTCAACATATACCCTATTTATGAAAGAAATCAATTAAATATGTATGTAGGGGTGTGTGTGAAAAAAGCAGATGTAATCCCCTTTGCAATCCTTAACATTTTCATAAGTAACTGTAATTGAATTACACATTTTTTCTCAGTAACTGTATCTGATTACAGTTACTTTTATTTTGTAATTAAATTACGTAATTCCGTTACATGTAACTAGTTACTCCCCAACACTGTATATATATATGCACACCTGTTTTCTCTAGCAGTTGCTGATTTGAATCAACATACACATCTAGTATTTAAATTGCAACCTTATCTTATCTTATTTTGTAAATCATCTGTTATGATGATTTTCAGTTTCTGAATTTTTCCACTCATTTTATTTTATTCTTTCCCATTTATCCTACCACATTTTTCTTGTATTACTTTTGACTAATTGACTTATTGTTTTATATAGCGTTTAATGACATGTTTCATTGTGACAACTTACCCCATTTAAGAAATTGGCTTTTGAAAATAAATGAACTCTGACAAATATGCACTGGAGTTGAAAATGTAACTATAAATGAGTATATACAACACTATGTGACATAATGAAATGGGCGAATCTGGTGACGGCGCAAAATGTTTCTGTTATATGATACTTCACACAATATATGTTATTCATCTGTTGCATAGCATTTTATAAAATACATAGATAGCATGTAAAATTCTATAAGATAATTTGGTTCAGTTTGGTTGAAATGACTTCCATGCTCACCCATTAAAAGATCCAGATGTTTGCGATTTATAAGCAAAAACATATAAGCAAAAGCAAGCATGACTGATGCATTCAAGAGATCCTGTCTGTATGCATCGGGATCAGTTTCCCCTCTCGTGCATTCATAACAGCGCACATATGAGCCATATATCATGATGCTTGTTCAGCATTACAGGCTCTGGCTGTCAATCTGGGTCGTGTTTGTGATGCATTTTGTCTTCAATGTCATGTTCGGCAGGATGCAGGTTTGTATGAGTACAAAGTGTTCGGTTCTCTGGCCAGCTGCGCTCCAGATCTCTGCGCAGATGTTTACATGGATCTGAACTACAGGAAACAGTGGGACTCGTATGTCAAAGGTAATTATTAGTGGGACTTGTTGATCTTTCACAACCAAACATCTTCATGAAACCATCATTCAGTGCTGGCTAGATTACTTACAAAGTGTAATCCGTTACTTGTTCCAAATTACATGACAAAAATTGCAGTTAGTAACGTAATCTGTTACATGACGCAATTAAGGTAATATAATCAGACTACTTTTGGATTACTTTTAGATTACTTTCGACATAACCCGTTTATC